TGATGACGATGATGATGATGACGATGATGATGATGACGATGACGATCATCATCATGATGACGACGATGATGATGATGATGATGATGATGATGATGATGATGATGATGATGATGATGATGATGATGATGGTAGTGGTGGGGGTACGGGTGGGGGTGGTGGTACTGGTGGGGGTGGTACTGGTGGGGGTGGTACTGGTGGGGGTGGTAGTGGAGATGGTGGTGATAGTGGTAGTGGAGGAGATGGTGGTGATAGTGGTAGTGGAGGAGATGGTGGTGATAGTGGTAGTGGTGGTGATAGTGGTGGTGGTGATAGTGGAGATGGTGGAGAAACAGGTGGAGGAGATAGTGGAGGAGGAGATAGCGGTGGTGGTGATAATGGGAGTGGAGGAGGAGATAGTGGAGAAGGTGGTGATAGTGGAGGAGGTGGTGATGGTGGTGGAGATGGTGGTGATAGTGGTAGTGGAGGAGGAGATAGTGGTGGTGATAGTGGTGGTGGAGATGGTGGTGATAGTGGAGGTGATACTGGTGGAGGAGATAGTGGTGGAGATAGTGGTGGTGATAGTGGAGGTGGAGGAGATGGTGGTGATAGTGGTAGTGGAGAAGGTGGTGATAGTGGTGGTGGAGAAACAGGTGGAGGAGATAGTGGAGATGGTGGTGATAGTGGTGGTGGTGATACGGGTGGTGGAGATGGAGGTGGTGATAGTGGAGATGGTGGTGATAGTGGAGATGGTGGTGATAGTGGAGGTGGAGAAACAGGTGGAGGAGATAGTGGTGGAGAAGGTGGAGATAGTGGAGAAGGTGGAGATAGTGGAGGAGATAGTGGAGAAGGTGGAGATGGTGGTGAAACAGGTGGAGGAGATAGTGGAGAAGGTGGTGATAGTGGTGGTGGTGATAGTGGAGAAGGTGGTGATAGTGGAGAAGGTGGTGATGGTGGTGGAGATGGTGGTGAAACAGGTGGAGGAGATGGTGGTGGTGATGGTGGTGGAGAAGGTGGTGATGGTGGTGAGACAGGTGGAGGAGATGGTGGTGGTGATAGTGGTGGCGGAGAAGGTGGTGATGGTGGTGATAGTGGAGAAGGTGGTGATGGTGGAGAGACAGGTGGAGGAGATGGTGGTGGTGATAGTGGAGAAGGTGGTGATGGTGGTGGAGAAGGTGGAGAAGGTGGTGATGGAGGTGATAGTGGTGGCGGAGAAGGTGGTGATGGTGGTGATAGTGGTGGTGGAGATGGTGGTGGAGATGGTGGTGAAGGAGGAGATGGTGGTGATAGTGGTGGAGGTGATGGAGGTGGTGATGGTGGTGGAGAAGGTGGTGATGGAGGAGGAGATGGTGGTGAAGGAGGAGATGGTGGTGGTGATGGTGGTGGTGGCGACGGTGGAGGAGATGGTGGTGGAGATGGAGGTGGTGATGGTGGTGATGGTGGTGGTGATGGTGGTGGTGATGGTGGTGGTGGAGATGGTGGTGGAGACGGTGGTGGAGACGGTGGTGGAGATGGTGGTGATGGAGGAGGAGATGGTGGTGGTGGAGATGGTGGTGGCGACGGTGGAGGAGACGGTGGTGGTGATGGAGGTGGTGATGGTGGTGGTGATGGTGGTGATGGTGGTGGTGATGGTGGTGGTGATGGTGGTGGTGGTGAGGATGAGTGTGAGAAGAAGTATATGGATAAAATAAATAAAAAAAAAAAGAAAAAAGGAGACAGTAAAAAGGAGACAATCAAGGAGACAATAGAAGATATGATTATACAAAAAAAAGAAAAATATATCAAAGAAATATGTAGATATAAACAACAAAAAAAACAAAAAAAAAACAAAAAAAATAAAAAAACCACCAACACCAACAGCAGCAGCAGCAGCAGCAGCAGCAGCAGCAGCAGCAACACCAACACCACCAACACCAACAAAAACAACAAAACCACCCCAATCACCACCCCCACCATCACCACCCCCATCACCACCCCCATCACCACCCCCACCAGC